AAAAATATTTTTTTTTTGTTATAGTAAGGAATGTTTCCTGATACATGTAGTATGCTTTTTGTCATTGAAACAAATGAAATAGACATAGTGCTTGAAAAATGCAAAAAGGTGACACTCAGGAGTGTCACTATGCCACAAAGGGTTAATATTTTTAGGCTTTTAAAAAAGACTTTACTCATTTTTTAATCTTCACCCTTTGGTAAAAAGAAACTACCCTGACCTCTAGCTCCAAAAATCAAAATTTCTGAAAATTCAACATTTTTCTTTTATTTTAATTTCTTAGGCAACCTTAACGTTCTGTTATCAAAAGCGCTATATAGAAATAAAAATAAAATATTTCTTTGCCAGAACAGTAAAATGTTTATTTTAGTGTAATTTATCCTGCTAAATTTAAATCTCAAGTCAAAATGGCATAGTGGCTCAATAATTTTAAAGTAATTTTAAAGTAACCTTTACCCATAGGAGGGGATACTCTCATAGCAATAATTGGTTAGTTGAAATAAGTACAAAGCGAACAAGTTTGCTGTGATATCAAAAAGATTTTCCCTAAGATGGCGAACTCACATAAATTTTTACTGATATCAATTGTTATAGCGTACTGATTCGCTATTGTAAACTTCTTAGCTGTGATAGCTAATTTTGAGAGATTTGTCAGCAAGCATTAATTGTGTTAAATCCACATATTTATTTAAATGTGCGGTTTTGAAGTAGTGAAAATTGCTTTGTTAATTATCAGAAAGGAATATAGGAGTAAAAAATAATTAGAGAAATTTACTCTAGTTACAAGTATATTTTGAAACAATGTAAACTTTACAAATGTTTATGTGTGAAGTGTTAGATTCGCGATATGCTTAGGGTAATGAAAGAGTTTAATTTTTATCCTTTGCTTACAACGTTCCAAAAGTTTCTGCTGTTTTTTAGGAAAAATTTAAAGTGGTTAAGTATTGGGGATAATGGGGTGTGCCAAATTTGGCAGAGGAGGAATCACTTTTTCTAGAATTGGTTACTTACAGAAAAATCTCCAAAAGGCGGAGTTATTGAAAATTCATAAGGTTCGAGTGTATCTGAGAACAATTATACAACGACGAGTTATTGTTACCCTCGAACAATGGCCTCAATCCTAAGAGGATAGGTGATCGTTGCTTGATCAAATAAAACATATTTATGACAGTTATTTCTAAATTACCACTCGACAATGTAGCAGAGCGAAATTACGGTTCTTATTAAAATACAACTTTCGAAATCATTTTTTTTTAATTTCCGGAGCAAAGTAAAGTATTTCAGGAGCAAAATTTAGCAAAGTATAATCCGAAAATTTATTTGAGTATTATTTATTTTGAATTATGTTCGTTGAAATTTCGAGTTTGTTATTTTAGTAAAGGTAATATAAACTATATTGATAAAAAAATTTATTTAAAATCAATTGTAGATCAACTATATTTTGTTGCGACGCAACAGATTGAAAGCTGACAGCTTTATTTTTTGCATATAAACCACAAATGATGTACAAAAAGAATTTTTTGGTCCGGAACTATTTTTATTTCATGATTATATTATCATCAATTGCTTCCAACAATAATCTATTTTCTTAGCACAAAAGTTTTAAATTATAATTATTATATTATTATTATTATAATTATTATTATATTTTTAATTTTATTTAACCAAAATTCTATAAAGTTTTTTTTTGTTTACTACAGTTTGTATATGATAGCAATTTGTTTATGGCGTCGCGTTTATGGATCGTACAATTACCGATGGTAGGGTAATAAGACCTCTTAATTTATTATTTTAAAAATGTTTTGATATTCTGATTAACTCAACTTGATAACTAATATACATTAATATTGTTAATTTTTTTATGTTGAATATTGGACACCTATTTTATGACTAAATTTTTAATTAATTTATTTTACAGCAGTAATAATACAATAGCATCATGTTGCTTTATGCTGCAAGGAAGATTATAGGATTTTTTATTGTCATTTATAGTTACCATTATACTGGATTTAAAAGACAAAAAATAAGAGAAAACAGATAATATTGTAAAAGATATGTTTCATATTCTAAGAAAATCGTGGCCGCTTTTCTATCTGTCCAACGCCCTTTCATGTCGATGAGTGTGACCTCGCTAGTAAACGTAGTTGCACATTGTGGCAACAGAAGAGAAAGAGATGCAGGCTGAAGAAGAAGAAGATAAAGATAAAAAAAGGAGAAACAAGTGTGTAGTGAAGTTGGTGGCTAAAGGAGAATATTAGGGGAGAGAAAGAGGAAGATGAAAAGAACAAGAAAAGAGGAGGATATAGTGTTCCTTTCTTGGTGTTTCTGTCCCAATGAAGGGACTTCGGTAGTGTTGGGATTGCCGTTGTATCGTAGACTCTGTGCCGTGGGTAACCGGTTTGGCCAGTTGCACGCATGCACGAACACGTGCACCCAGAAATAAAGCACTTGCACGCACGATCTCTTTCTCTATACACCAATACAAACGAACGCACATACATTGGGAGTTATGTATGCTACAACCGAAGATGTGAATCCTTCAGTATGTATAGTACACCAGAAATACTGGTTCTAAATATAGCATTACATTTACATAAGCGAAGACCTAAAGACCAGGGTTGGATTATTGTGTAGGCGAAAATTTAGCATCTTATATTAATTACCAACCTTTACCCATCTTTATTATAGTCGACGCCACTAGTCAGATCAGATTTTCCTTACAACAATCTTACAAGACTCTATCCAAAACAAGTCTTTTTCATTTAGCAGAAATACTACAAAATAAATCCTTTTGAAATGGAAATATTAAGTGTGTTGTTATTCTTTTTGTCATATCACCCAATATAATTGAAGCTGATATAATTAACTTTATATAGATTAATATATATTAACTACTACACATAATTTGAAGTACACTGAGAAAACATTATACTTAATTCAAATAGAAAAATAATTTTAAATGATTTTGTTTAATTGAAATTAGTTTGTAAGTTTAATCCCAATATATAGAAAATATTTACTGCTTTGATTCAAAAATATTATTTGTTTGAATAATTATGTTTAATTCAAACATATTTTCTATTTTGATTTAAACAAAAATTATGTTTAAAAATTTTATGTTTGATTCAAACTTAAAAGTTTATTATAAATAATTTAAAATCAACCATAACTTATGTTTGAATTAAATATATTATTTCTTTAAATGAACCAAAAAATATGTTTGAATTAAACTTAAATATGTTTGACTGTATAGCAAAGATATTTTAAGTTTGATTTAAACAAATTTTGTTTGAACCAAATAATTCGTTTTCTCAGTGTACCAACAAAATAATGTTAGTCTGAACAACAAAAGTTTAGTTAAAGGAATATTTATTCCTTTAAAGGAATAAATATTCCTTTAACTAAACTTTTGTTGTTCAGACTAACATTATTTTGTTCGTACCTTTTCTATGATATAACTTCTAAAAAACATTCCATAAGATATCACGTTTTTTCACACCCTCCGTTCTCCCTTATTTTGTTAGTACTTTTTTCTACCTTACATCTTCTAAGAAAGGTTTCACAAGACTGTTTTTTATACCCTCAGGTCTTTTTTATTCTCAAGTCTACCTTTTATCTTTTTGGTAACTCAGTTAAACCCACAATTAGTCAAAGTAAAAAACTAAGCTTGTGTGTTCTAGTTGAACGTATGGGAAACCTAGGTCCTCATACATTTAAAGAGTTAAAGCACAGTGGTTTCAAAAATTTAATTTAGAGTTCAAAATCGTCTACAGTTCTTAAACCTTTATCAATTGAGGTAAAATAAATAAAAATGTTTGTAAGTATAATTATGCTTTTAGTAGAAAAATATACATTTTTAATAATTTATTTTCTATACCTTTTAATGCAGATGTTTTAGAAACAATAACCATAAATTAAATACCAGAAATTTAATTAATCATATGAATTATTTTATTGTTCGAGCACGGATTCTACTACTTTTCCTACGTTTTTTCCAATCAACTGTCATAAATCGTACCATGCAAACGGTAAAATAAACATTTCGATTTGCATTCAGCGACAGACAATAAATAATTTATTGATTATGCCTAACATTTTTAATTCGACTTTTAAAATGTTTCTAAGTAAACTTCAAATCTGATAGTAGATGTGTATTTATGTACTCCAAAAACTTATTAAAAAAGTGTCGTTTAATTTTTGTTTTTACGTTTTGGATTTTTTATTAACGATACTATTGTCGGTTTATGTTTTTAAAGTTATTCTTATATGGAATAATATATAAAAAGGTAATTTGAAAAAATACTCAATCATATCTGTCATATCCCCATGAATAAGTGGAAGGGAATAAATTTTTACCGCGTGCGCATTCGCCGTATTAAATTATGAAAAGCTAACATCAGATTTGTAATCAGTGACCCAGAAAACCCTCGCATAACTAGTTTCTAGCCAATCCGATCAATTTTTAAAACTTTTCCGCCATATTGCAGTTTGGAGAACTAATCTAAGAATTCATTTTGTCGCCTTCACATTGCGATTAGAACATTTGTTTTTTTAATGTTTAAAGAAATTTAACCACAGATGATGTTGTTTAAAATATCATCATCTGAAAAGTACTCTCAACAAATTTAATGCTTACTTTTTCTGTAATAATATCTTTAATTCTTTTTTCGAAATTTACAGTTTGAATTACAGATTAATTACTGATTATTTTGGTTTCTCAATATTATAATTATGATTTACCATTTTGTTTCAAAGTGTGTTCTTTTATACTATAATAATTTCATTCTCTACTGTTATTGAAAAAATGAATATCCATTGGTTTGTAATTGAAAAATACAGACGTAGTTATTCAAAATTCATTACTGTTATTGAAAATTTAATATTATTTGAAAAGATAAATGTTAGAGAAAGAGACTTGCAAAGAATTTTTCAGCAATGGTAATTTTTAAGTGAATCTTTCTTCTTGAATGCACATGTTGATATTTTAATGGGAGACCAAATGTTTCAAATTTGGAATAATGCTCATGCAGAAATGGCAGATGAAGTCAGGAAATATTTCTAATTTCTTAGCAAGAATTTTACATTCAACCAGAAACAAAATTTGTCAAAAGCGGTCAAAAAGAATGTAGAGAAACTAGAAAAAAAAATATTGGATGAAGCCGAATTAATGACCGATGTTGTTAAAATTAAAATGTTAAACAACACACTTATGTTTACTCTTTTCGTAGAACATTTTCAAGAGAACCAGGTACTATTGTTCCAAGTGCAAGTTTTTGATGTAAGTTAAAAATTTAATTATTTATAAATAAAGTGTTATATTTATTAAAGGATAATTTGACTAAAACTTATTGTTATCCAGAAAGAATATTTGATTTTATTGGTAATACAGTTTTTATTAATTTAATATACAAAAATATTTCTGTTTTTTCAGATTTCAGAAGAGGATTCTGTAATAAAAAGTAAAATAGGACCAACATCCACTTTATTTGTTAAAGGCGAAAATTTATATAATGAACGAAGTCAATGTTACGTATACATAAAAAATCAAAATTTGATTGAATCAAAGGATGTTAGAAGGAATCTTCATATTGTTTAACTCCTATTACTGCTTTGGATATTCATATCGATTTGTCAAAGAAACTTTAATTTATTCAAAGGTAATTCAATTTTTTATATTACTGTTTATATAATAATCTTATAAATATTTTAAAACATATATAAAATTTAAATTTGGTTTCAGAATCATGCTAAAAATAAATCCGAAGGAAGAAGGAGATAAAAAAAGCTGCTGGAGCTAAAAGGAGAATGACAAACTTTGAGATGGCAGTAAAAAAATTAGGAGAAGAACTGAACAATTTTACAAATAAGTTTGGGTGTAGTTCAATTAAGAGATAAAGACATTTTTTGAAACTTGATCACTTTTATTTCATGTAGTTTAAAATGCAATAATAAACTAAATACATTATAAATTATATATGCATTTTAATTTCAAATTATTTCTATCTGAATTTTCAATTAAGTATATTATTTTTTAATTTAAATTTTAATTAATTTAATTACAGTTGTTATTAAATATTCAACTTTAATGTTATTGAAAATTCAAACGTAAAGAGGATCGTAAAGAGGATACAAAATGTTTATGCAATGAACATCTGAATTTATAGTAAATAATTTATTTTCTTTAATGAATTTTTATATTTTAAGCAATCGTCAAAAAACAATAAAAAAAAAAATAAATAAATAAAAAATAAAAAAAAATAAAAAAAAATAAATAAATAAAAAAAAATAAAAAAATAAAAAATAAATAAAAAAAAAAAAATAAATAAATAAATAAATAAAAATAAAAAAAAATAAATAAATAAATAAATAATAAAAATAATAATAATAAATAAATTAAAATTTTAATGTTTATAATGTTAATTTTTTGTTTATTTTGACTAAGTTAAACACCAATTATTTAACACAAAATAAAGGATGTTTTCAGAAAAAGATAATATTTTATTCAGAAGAAGATGAAATAAAAAATATATTGTTTGCAAGAGAAAAATGACTCGTATAAAAATAAATCTCAGAGAGTATTCAAATAGTAAATAAACTGAGTTCAAAATAAATAGTGTACTACTTATGCAGTTTACATGTGCAGCAAAAATAAACGACCCATATGAAGCAATATTCTGTTGCTTATCAATAATATTTAATTTTCTACACAACAAAAATGAACTTCAGTTTTGTCTCCGAACATTGGTGTTAAATTATTGTGTCCAATATTATAAGGATTGAAAGTTTGTAATATTATAAATAATGCGCAATAAAAGCAATGTAATAGTACAACGCACGAGTTTAAATACGTGAAACGCTTACGCACTTGCAGCATTCGAGAGCAGCTATAATACACATATTGAAGCTATCACTTCGTAACGACGAGGTGAAGTTCATTGCCTTCACGCAACAAGCAGCAACGTGTTGTTTATCAGTGTGGAGGAAGTGTATACTCACATATGTGTGTGATTCATGACTGCATGTATATACACTTCTTGAAAAGTACTTTAGCTTCGCGATCAAGAGCATTTGCAAAGTTCGTAAATAAACGAGTCACGTGTCGCCTGAAGACGTCAAAATGTGAAACGCATGTTATAAGTTTTCTTTAAATCAATATAATTTTTAGATTTGTACATTTATTTCTATAAACATGTGTTTCTTATGAACATACAATTTCTAAAATGAAATAAGCTGCGATATTTTGCACATTACTTTATACATTATCAGGAATTATTTAATTTGTGTTTGTACTTATAGAATTTTGGAAAAGGAAAATATAACAAATACTTTCTATTAAAATAAATTTTGAAAAATGTTATATTCTTAACCCATTTCGTCCGAGAAGTCCTCCTTTTTTCCTTTACATTTTGTACTTACCATATTCAAAGACAGCTTGGTAAAAAAAATTTTACACCTGGTGTTTCTTATGTATTTTTTAGTCTTTTTTCAAAATCTACAAGAAAATTTAATTTTTGACTCAAGGATTAAAAATTATGATCGTTTAAACAAAAAGACACCAAATTTTTGGGTCTTTTAGCATTAAAACTATATTTTCGATTGAAAATCGCTTTTATGATAAAATTTTATCACTATGACTGATTTAAGAATATTTAAAACAATTTTTATAAACAAATACTGTTTTCTTCCACCGATTTTTTTTACTGTTTTCTTAATAAATCTTTGAAATAAAAATTATTGACCACAATTAATAAACAACTTTATAAGCAATTATTTTAAACAAATTTCAAATTAGCAACAAGTAAATGTGTAAAGATTTCATTTTTTCTTTTACTATTTTTTTCAGAGGATCAATGAATCTCGAAACTTAAATTTATTTAATTCTTAACACCGAATTTAGAGTTAAAATAACACGCAACGACATTTATACCCCTCATATTAGGTGGCCCTACAATCTATGTCGTTTAACATTAGCATAATTATTGTTAATATGTACATTGTTTACAATAACTGTTTATAGCATTAAAGGTGAAAGAAGTTAACAATTTTTCAAAATCAATTTCACAAATAAATCTCTTAAATAAGCTCATGGGTTTCATATATATGTATCGACAGCACAGCTGCCCTAATACAGAATATTTTCGAAATTAATTAATAATTTCAAAATTATCAAAGAACTCAGAAAAAAACGTTAAAATTGTTAACTTCTTTCACCATTAATATTTAATTACCGAATGATAAATTCATTTCCTTTAATTGTTTATAGCATTATTAAAAAATATTAATATAGGTAAATTAAAGTTTAAAGATTCATTAATCTTATAGAAAAAAATATTAAAAGAAAAAACGAAATTTTGACATGTTTACTTGCTGCTAATTTTGAATTTGTTTATAACAATTGTCTATAAAGTTGTTAAATAATTGTGGCCTTTAATTTTTATCTCAAAGATTCATAACTATTGTTTTTTTAGATTTCCGCCATATTGCATCAACCATTTTGAATTTTTGAAAACTAACACCGAATTCGTAATCAGCGACCTTGGAAATCCCCAAATGAAGAGATTTATAGATCAATGAAATCAATTTTTTTATTTTTTGTCCACAATATTGGATCAACTATTATGAATTTTTGAAAACTAATATCTAATTCGTAATCGGTGACCCCGAAAATCCCCTAGTGACAAAATTAAGTTTAATAGAATGAATTAAAAACATTTTGGCCGCCATATTGGATCCGACATTTTGAATTTTTGAAAACTAACTTCAAATTCGTAATCAGCGACCCCAAAAACCCCAGAGTAATAAAATTTAGTCGAATTCAATAACATTTTGGTTTTTTGAAAAATAGTTACCAAAACTTTCAAATTTTACTTCATATTTGTCGATATATTTGGTCCGACATCTTGAAATTTTAAATTCTAGTTTATGATTTTTAAAAGTATACAATTTTTATGCACCTACGGTTGAGAATTGAATTTTATTCACACACGTTTTATGAGTAAAAAAGTTATCGAACTTGAACAAGAGAAATTTGTTTTGTATTTTTTGGAAATTAAAACAGTTATAAATAATTTTGGGTTAAACAAAATTGCATTTTTACACCGGAATCAAAAATAGCACACTCAAAACGTTTAAAAGAACATACTTTTGGTGTAAAATATTATTCGTCTTATTTATAAAAGCTTAGGTTGAAATTGCTCAAAAAATTTTCTTGTTTTTGACGTTAATGGATTAAGTGAACAATATTGTTAAATTAGTCATAGTGGATGTGGACATTGACTCAAAATAAATGCTTATTTTGAAGGTTATCAAGTAACTATGACTTTCAATCAATCATATTTTTTCCCCATTTGTGTTTGTATCAACAAGGATTTTAATTTTAGCGTACAGAACCCTCGATTTTAGTGCAAGTTGCAACTAGCACTTGTCCGATTTTTATAGGGTGATAATAATTGTAGGCCGCCCATAACCTAGAAATTTCAGAGACCATCGAATACTCGTAAACTTTATTGAGATATATGGAAGTATGCAAGAAATTCTCTGATATTTCCCAGTTTTTCAAGGTACTTATCATTTTCCTACGAATTACTGATTTCTTAATATTTTCAAGTGTTAAAGACACCCTTAATAAATTAAAAAAGTTTAAGCTAAAGTTCTATTAACATTAAGTTGACAACTGACATATCAGCTCGATACAACTTTTTGATTAAAATAGATAATTAAACTTACTCAGAGGTAGTTTTTAATTCTTTGACATAAAAGCTCCTAACGCCCGAAAACTTGTTGGAAAATACTATTACTGACCCACTAAAAGTGTTTGACATGAATAAGCTGAATGATGCAATTGAGTGACCACAGCGGTACATAAAAGTTAAGGGAAGTTTCGAACAGCACCGTCCAACGGTTAATAGTTCAAAGTGTCAATCCATATACCACTAGGTAACGAGTTAAATTATAATGGCGACTATGAGTTGTAGACAAGTCAAACCATTCCTGGGAACTAATATAAACCTATATAAACAGCAGCGAAATTCCGCAGACTTAATAGGGTAGTCGCGAAAATCATAACGATGCTCTTAAGAGGTTACGGTGATCTAAGTTATCAAAGGCATAAAATGAGTATCGTAAAACATCCTACGGAAATATGGGGAGACGGATGAAAACTCATCTCACAATTTCTGTCAGTGCTCTTTACTTGTATATAAGGTAATTTCATTAGAACGCGAACTGTTTCTTCCTCAAAAACACACACTGTTAAAAATTTTTGTAGGATTTTTCAGAAACAAGCAACGGAAGTTTTATGCAGTTACATGTTACGTAAAATTTAGAAACGTTTTATTTTTTTCAGATACATAGGACTGAACAAATATTCAGTCCAATTCACCAAAAATTTTGTGACCGTTTCGTAATTTTCAGTAATGCGTAACAGCATAAAACTTCCGTTGCTGTTTTCTGAAAATTTTGTTACAGTTTCGTAATTTTTTGTAGCACGTCACAGCTTGAATTTTCCGTTGCTCCTTCCTGAAAATTTTGTTACAGTTTCGTAATTTTTCGTAACACGTCATTAGCTTAAAATTTTTTTTATTTTTCCTGAAAATTTTGCTACAGTTTTGATGAATTAACAATATGTAACTAAAATGTTACATATTGCTTAATAATCAGAACTGAACAAAAATCAAAAAATATTTTCAATGACACTCATCAGTGATAGCTAAATAAAACATAATTTACATTAAAATACAAAGTATAATTTAAAATGTACAACTTCATTATTTTTAAATTTGTCTTAAAATTTTTTCTATTCCACTAAATTTTCAGTATAAAAATTATTTAAACTTAAAAATATTTAATAATAATGCTAATGTTTAAAAATGGT